TAATTTGTAATTTATAAACTAACGGTAGGACCAGAAAATTTAAGGGTATAGACCGCGCGAAATGCGCAACACCATGGATCCCGTTTGTGTGACGACATAGCAGTACAAAATGGCACGTTATGCTCTCATATTACCATCGAGTCTACAAGAAAACGATTCTGGCGAGTGTCACTCAAGCTACGAGTGCTCTGGTCTCCAACACCTGCCCTATTACCCAGTACTTTACGCCATTGCCTCATAGTAAACAACCACTGGAGAGTGTCACACAAGATGGGCTAGTAGTAGTCTTTGATGCGTACTCCAAGAAGAAAAGACACAAACCCTCCGCACCACCAAAGATTTCTTTGGTATCTACCACAACCAACCATACCATACAAACTACTGTGAGCAAATATTTCTCCTAAATCCCTAGCCCAAACCAAACCCTGGTTGCACCTCCATCAACACTCCTCGGAGGGAGGTGCCGCCCCTCGGAGCAGCTAGAAGCATACTTTCCACCAAAAGCTATGGTTCTGGCCATATAGCGCCTCTTCTAGTTCACAAGGTTAAAAATAATATTAAGATTTTTATCAGTACAAAGTGCCCACCACTACAACTACTGAAAGCACTGTAATATTGCCTACCAGAAATTGACTTAAAAGGCTACTTGAAAGCTACTCTTAAGCTACTTTAACAAAGTAAGTACCTGAAAGTTATGTTAAAATAGCTTTCAAGAAACTTTCCAGTCGCCCCTACCACATAGAAATTATGCTATACCCACCAATTCTACATAAAGAACAGCTACTTTAAAGTAGCTTAAACAAGGCTACCAAAAAGCTACTTTCTTATTTCTACCTGTCAATCCTACTATATGCTTTGTAGAAAGGACTTTTATTCTGATGAACATGATAAGAACAATCAGTACCAGGGCATTGGATGTACTACACAAGTACTAGTACATACCTCCATGAGATAGTCTTAACTGGGTCCAGGAGCTTACTAAAGTATTAGGTAGTGCAACTTTTTGTAACGTCCTAGAATTGGTTTCTTACCAGGCAATCTACAGGTTTCTTTTTGTGCTTCTACTTAATACGAGTACGAGGTTCTTGGAAGGCAAATGTGTTGCCGGAAAGTGAAATAGGTTATGAGTACATTAAAAATGCTCAGTTTTTGCTAGTCAAAAAAAAACACCAGCACTAGATTTGTCTCACCAAAGCTAATAGGACATTTTCCTGGCAACAAATAACTTCACTAGTATTTATAGTAAGAAGAAGGGGATCCGGAAGTCTCAAATCAATCGACCAACAAGTGTTTTTTTAATTAAAGTTTTCCATATCAGTATCATAGCATCCTACGTAAAAATTAGTACTACCCAATGTTTAGATTTTAAAATACTTATTTTTTTTAAGTGAGACAGGTTCAAGTTGTTCAGGCAAATGAAGCCTATTGTTCCCTCTGTAGATCGGCCTACAATTTGTGCCGACTCCAGGGCCCTCCGGAACCAACGCGCGCGCGTCCCCCCTTTGAAATC